GTGTGTGACAATTTAACGGTTAGGCGAGTTAGTCCTTCATATTTTTCGAACAAAAATGATATTTATATTATGAAATGACATACTTTAATTTACATTATTTTTAAAACATGTCACGTATGTATGTAAGAAAGTGTGTATATTTATTAAAAACGTACATTTATTTAATGGTCATATATGCTTGTCTAACAGCAACCTTACCATTTCAACATCTGAAACGTCATACTTTAAAAAAATAACATAAAAATATGACATTTTATAATATAAGTATGCATTTTTCTTAAAAATAAAAAATAAAAAATAAATCCATCACAACTAATTACCTAATACAATAATTTATATTTTATTAAATAAAAATGTGATTTATTGGGCACACCTTACACATGGGAGCCACGAGAATTGCCCCATCCCAATATTGTGGCTTTTTTCTATGTAAACGTAAGGCCATGGCACCTCCCATTGACTCTCCCATTATTATTCTCATCTTCTTTTTGTTCTCCCTCCTTTCTGCATATTTAAATAAAATAAAAATTAATAGGAATAAATAAATAAAAAAATAAAGTCATGAATCAAATATCGAAAACTATAATTTAATTTACTACCAGAAATATTGGTGAAATGCTCGGAAAGATCGTCAACAAGATCATCGAAGCTCAAAACTAAACCTTGTAGGCCGGAGGATTTTCCATGGCCTTCGCAGTCGATGCCATGAACCTCGTACCCTGCCTTAACCAGTCGAGTCGCGCAGTCTATCCGAATATTGAAGCGATTATTATATATTAATTATTATTGTTAGTTTGTACATTAATCTAATTTAAAAAAAAAAAAATATGTATCCAATTTTACAATAGCCTCATATTACATATACATATCTAGCTAGCTATCTAAATATATGTCACTAATTAATGATGTAGAATCATGAAATTATTAGTTGCATTACATTTCATATAAATATACATATCATTATTCTTTCCTTTTTCATAATTATATATTATTATTATTTTTTTTTTGGGAGCAAAATAAAATGGTAATTACCTCTCATGGAGATGCTACATTCCATGGCATATCCATGGCACAAGAAGATCAAAGCTCTCGGCTCGACCTTTTCAGGCAACCATCGACACGTGAAAAGTTTAACTCCACGCGTATTTACTATATATTCCTGTAAATATATTAAGATTGATTATACAATCCTTTTTGTAACTTAAATTACAAATAATCTTATCAATATTTCCAAAAAATGAAAATAATAATAATAATAATAATAATAATAATAATAATAATAATAATAATAATAATAATAATAATAATAATAATAATTTGTTTACCTCTTCATATTTGCCATCACTTGCATAATTCTCCTGGGGAAATAATCAAGAAAAGAATAAAATAAAAAATCGACATAAATAATGTATTTCGACTTCCAAATTAATCGAACGAATTAACGAAAATGTTCATATATTATATACTTACCATAATATATTTATGTGTGGCTATTTAAAGGAAGATAAAGTTGTGGTATATATAAGCTGGGAATTGAGCTTTTTGGAGTAGAAATAAGGTGAATATCATTACAAATGGTGTGGAAAAATAAGAAGTTTATGTATGGCTATTTATACAAATTCATGAAATGTTTTTATTGTGACGAGAAAATTGGCCCCAACAAACAATTAACTTCAATTCTTTTGGTTTTGTATTAGATAAATATATGTTGACTTAGTTAAATATTTAATTTAATTAAAAGAGAGTTTGTTTTCAACTTACATCATCATTTTAGATGACATAAATAATATATATTATTGAAGAATACAATTATTTTTCTATCTCAAATGAAAGGGAATCTCAACTTGAGGTTGACTTAAATTGTAATTAAAATATGATGTCACATTTATAAAATCAGATTAATCAAGTTCTTGCAAGGATAATCTGATTATGAAGTTCATCTCATAAAAAGATCAAATTAATTAATGCTTTGTGATTTGATTTTCTAATCATGCATGATGAAGGATTTGAAAAAATGTAAATGATTCTCGTGTTAGCGAATAAAAGCTATTCTACGTTCGTGAGTAGTATTTATTAAAAGGAGATGCTATACGGTCCCGTTACAGAACAATTTCGTCGAAAATTGTAACTTAGATTAACTATTCATACGGTTACATGATGATCTAACGGTTACAATTTTTGACGGAATGGTTCGTCTTTGCATTTCCCTTTATTAAAATATATAACTGTCCATTATTACTTAACTGGATGATATTAGAATTTTCCTTTAATTAATTGATGATTCGTTGACATTGGAACTCGCATGTGAATTAACAGAATTGTTTTGTCCTTTGTTTGTTCTCGATTGGTTGTCTTGAGGCATATCTTCCTTATGTTCGATTATCGTTGTAAACGTGTTATTTATGCACTTGTGGTACATTTCGATAGAGTTGAGATGATTATGTATTGTAATTGTAATTTATCCTTGTGTGCCTTTCCTTAAATGTCCATTTATTTCAATGTGATTTTATTATTAGAAAATTGCAACGGAGATTAACATTAGATTCTTTCATTTCTAAATGATTACTCTATAAATTTTAGTTGAAATTTGATTATTCCAACAACCCCGTTTTTACAAGAATTTCCGATTGAATTTACAGATATCATTGAAAACATATTTTTCAATAATTTCAACTATTAAAAAAAATACAAGTTAAAATTGTCTAAATCGAATAGAAAATCGAACAAGAATAAATTCCAATAGAACATTTTTCTTTTTGAATTGTCATTTGAGTTTTTTCAACGTAAGCTATAACATTAGAATATTAGTTGAAATACCATTAAAATATGTTGGAATATATTATGAAATTTGACAATTTGAATAATTTTACACACTTATTAATGAGAGATGCTACGGTCCCATTATGGAACTATTCCGTCGAAATTTGTAACCGCTAAATCAACTATCTCCGACGATTACATGATGATGTAACGGTTAAATTCCAGACGGAATAGTTCCGTAACGAGACTGTAACATTTTCCCTTATTGATACACCGATCTTTCACCTGCTATTCATTTACAAGAATATCGTACATAACTACCAAGATTGTAAACTATTTAATCGGAGATATATATACTTCATTTAATTTAACCCTTTAAATAGTCACACAAAGAACATCAATTTATTAATTTTCCTTAGTGCAATATCTTATTGAAAAATCCAGTTGACCAATTTGTGTGCTGATATCATATACTATGTAAGTTGGCCTTTGGTGGAACACAAGAGTATGACTTCTTTCTAGTGACGGTATTTTCTATATATTATTGATTTTTTATAGTTCAATAAATCAATATATTTGTGATTTTTTTTTTTTTTTAATTAAGGGAAAGTGATGTTTGAATGTATAATAATTTGGCGCATAATTTGACACAAGTGATGTATTATTAATTATAATATTTGTTGCTCTTAAAATTTTGATACGTAAGATAATAATTTTATTTATATAAAAATGTAGTTTATTTAATTTATTTTAATTATTATCATAAATAATATATTACTGACTGAAATCATTAAACAGATGACCTCGTTCTACCAAGCAACAAAAAATATGAAAATATATATATATATATATATTAATAAAAAAATATAATAAAAATGCAAAACAATACTGATTATTAATTTACCTTCTCTTAGCAGTCTCACACTCAAAATTAACCATGTTTAACTTAAAAAA